CCGAGCGCCTGTGGTTACTGGAGCTGAACTAGTAGTATTGAATGATCCTGCTACTGCAAATCCTCGCATACGTACCAAGGATGGCGTCTCTGATGTCTTGTATATAGTACTGTTAGATACTAATAGTCAGTCATGCGTTGTGGAGCGTTCTTTCCACAAAGGCGATAGCTTCAACAACGGGGGGGGGGGGGGCTCTCTCGGGTTCTAAGGCACTCTTGGTCTTCAATGAAATCGGAAATATTTTTTTGACAACCCAAGGATGCACATGCACATGTCCAAGCCACATTTGGAACATCCTGACAAAAAACTCACGGAGGGGGGGAGTACACACACATGATAGGTATATGTGAGTGCCACATGATGCTATTACTACCAAAAAACTACCCTTTTCATACCTATATATACCCATATTTATACCAAAATATGATTTCTATAACCCTTGTGTGTACATTTGTACCTCGGATTTATATAAATTTTGCATAATTTTATTTATATAATTTTATATATAAGTGTGATATTATCCTACATCACAATAAAAATTGACAGGTGTGACATGTGTGTCCTTAGCGCCTTCACGTACGTGCTCGTAGCCGGGGCTGTTACATGTTTCGTGTGTACGGTACTTTCCTTTCACTCATTGTCAGCATAATACACAGTAGCTCAGACCTAACAAAAAAAGAAGTAAGCAATCACAAAGCAGCAATAAACCAACCAGAAATGCATGAACTCAAACATTTTCTGATAACCAAGTTAATTAAACTGCACACACCATGGTATTCATGTATGTCTGAGAGTGCGGCTTTTATAGTACAGACCAAGCGTAACTTAACATTTAGTTAGCTTTAAGCTGATTTTCAAAACTGCTCTATATCTAAATTATGCAGTGTCAAAATATGTTTCATATTAGTAACATACATATAGGTAAAAACTACAAAGAATAAAATGAAATTATTGATGACGATGTTACTCGCTTTAAAATTTGTAAGTAAATGTAATGTTTTGGGTTTGCCTAGGCGTATTGCATGCTGGGTACAGCCTCGTTGCGAGTTTTGGTAAATAAAGTCTCCTTCCGTGTAACGATTCAATTCTGATTTGAGTCCTCTAATTTATAGCAGTAAGAGCGACGATCTGGTATATTACAGAACCTAAGAGTAATATACTACAGTAAAGTTACGCCCCAGCATTACTGTAAATGAATTTGAGGTTTAATGTCCGCGTTATCTTGACTTATACATGAACAGAAAATTCATTCATTTTATCAGCATAACATCATCATTGTGACTGTCATAAAATAACGGAATTAAAAAAAATTGATTAAAAAAAAATGAAACACAGCTAAGTTAATTGTCATTGAGCAGCCCTCGTACTGTACCGCTTGGTCTTAAAACTGTAAATATATTAATTATTGTTTGTATCAATTAACATGCTATAATGACGTATATACATTCATTTTTTTTTTTGTGCGTTTATATCTACTGTGTATATCTGAATATATACATGTATACTACATACTACAAAATTGCTGCACAATAAAATGTCAACAGTACCGGTAATATACATGATTAATTTTATTAGTCATTTTAAATCTATGCGTTGTCAGGCCACATATTTAACACAATCTGTGATGTCAGTTCCTATACATTCACATGTATTAATTTTCCTCTCATTGCTGTATAGATGTGATGGCGTTTGACAACAATAGTAGTAACACTATGACCATTCAGGTGGATGGTGAACCTGAACAATCTGACGTATTCACACGATTTAAACCACTATCACCAGATGTCAGAAGTCACAGTCCATTCTCATTTTCCAATTTATTTAAAAAAAAAGGTAAGTGTTTGGTTTCTTCAGTAATTTGAAGTTTTGCTTTTGAAAAGAAGTCACACAGGGCCTTTTATTCTGTCAGTTGTATTGTTAGATATTCTTCTAAAGCTTACAAACGCTTTTTACACTACTGTATTTGCTTTATTAGTGGCGCGTGTGCATCATACGTTGATGCAGTATGACGTAGTATGGACCATATACCAACTGCAAAAATCTTAGTTTTAGCGAGATATGCAGGACAGCACTTGTTTGCAAATACTAGTTACGAGTTGCATTACTAGAAGTTTGGTGTCTCCTGTTAAAGTTAATTAAATCCTGTAACGATCTTTAGACACACAAAGAAAATTACTCTAACAACTTAGTTTGCAATGTTTCTGATGCTGCGACTGTGAATATGTGTGTTTGGGTTGTCACTGACTTATTAGCTGGTTGTAGTTTGTGTTCATATCCACTCTATTCTTAGAATACATTGTAGATGCACATTCTTAATATTTTAGAAACTTGGTGACTTTAAATTGGCAAATCAATTATTTTCAATTAATCTCTAATAGATTCCAAAGTACAGCAATTACTGGATGTTTCCGCTGATGTTACGCCACCTCAGACATCCCCAGTTCTGCCACGCAAAGTGGAGTCACCCCCTCCCCAGTGGGCCCAGAGGCCAAAACAGCTACATTTTGATAGCTGTGTTAGAGAAACCAGACGTAAAAGCAGTAGCAGCGGTGATAGTCCTGGTGAAATGAAAGGCAATAGACCAACAAGGACGCTATCCACAGTGTTGAAGAGGATAAGCAGTCTGATAGATAGTAAGAACCAGGTGAGCTGTTTGTTACAATGTACCAGTTAACATATATTTGTTTTGGATGTTTTATCCCCCTTTTTAGCTCCGCTGTTGACTTTGTGGAGCAGAGCTTATCATGTGATTGTCTGTCTATTGTCCAGTGAATATTTCGACATTTTTAGTAAAAGTTATATTTTCGACCTTTTGTTAATATTCAATTGCTTTGATATTACATATATAGGTACTACATGTGGACTTCTCCCAGATTTGTTCATTTCGCGATGATATCTTCAATTCTCTAATTTGATGAATATTTTTGTCATTTTGGGAAAAAGTGATATTTTTGACTTCTTGTTAAAAACCGCAAGTCTGATTGCTTTGATATTATACATATAGGCACTACAGGTGGACTGCTCCCAGATTTGTTCATTTCGCGATGATATCTTCAATTCTCTAATTTGATGAATATTTTTGTCATTTTGAGAAAAAGTGATATTTTTGACTTCTTGTTAAAAACCGCAAGGCTGATTGTTTTGATATTATACATAAAGGTACTATAGGTGAGCCTCACAGATTTGTTCATTTTGTGATGATATTTTCAATTCTCTAATTTGATGAATATTTTTGTCATTTTGAGAAAAAGTGATATTTTTGACTTCTTGTTAAAAACCGCAAGGCTGATTGTTTTGATATTATACATAAAGGTACTATAGGTGAGCCTCACAGATTTGTTCATTTTGTGATGATATTTTCAATTCTCTAATTTGATGAATATTTTTGTCATTTTGG